GACCAAGCTGTGCTGGCGGTCGACCAGGCTAGCTGCAGAGTTGCTAGGTGCCTGATGTAGTCATTGTTGTCATTGATTGTTCAATCTTTCTGTAATTCCAACTTTGCCTAGTGAAACTCTTGCCGATTTCTCCCGTGCATGCGCTAGTACTAAGGAACTAAACAAGCTACGATCACTCCTACTAGTTCGTGCCAACCCCCGTAGTCTAGCTCACTACCGTTGTAGAGTGACTCTCCGCATGGTGCGGTGAGCGTGGAAGGCCCCGCAGAGTACCTTCAGATAGGAGCCGACTTTTGCACCTACTAAGTCGTTCGTAGGCCAGCAGCAACGTTAGTCGCCATGGTCAACCCCGTAGTTGATACGGCGTAGCAGACACCTTAGAGGCACGTTGGGCTGACGCGAGGAAACGCCATGCGGATGGCGAGTACGGGATGATCCCCTTGATGATCGCCGAGTTGGGCATCCGGTCGCAGTGGGCGACGGAACACCCTTCCCGTCTTGCATCTCCTCGACCGGTACGAAACGAAGGTGGCGTCGACGACGAGGTCGACGGCGGTGTACGAATCAGCGACAGCGAAGGCACGAAGCAGAGAGGGGTGATCAAGGTCGACGGTGATGTCTTCAGGATTCAGGCGCGAGTGCAACGGTCGATGGCGGCTGCAGGCAGCACGCGTGCCGACGTCGATGGTCGACGTCGATCTCCTCTACGAAGCGGTGGAGGGCTCTCGGCGACGACGCACGTGACGGCGGGCGGGATTGCACCCGCGTATGGCTACTTCAAGTTCTCGCCGGACCGGATCACTGTCGCACCGCTGCAAGGTTGACAGGACCTCATCACATGGAGGGAGTCGATAGAACCTCAGCTGGAGGTCGCCGGGCTGAAGGGCTTCACGGCACCGTGCCAATTCCGCCCGAGGAGAATGTCGAGCTGCGTGGGGAGTTTCGTGCGGCTCACTTGCTCATCTTCATGGTCATCTCGAGGTGCTGCTCGCCGGTGGTGCAGCTGGCGCTCAGGTCCTGTCGAGAGCGACTGGACGCCGGTCACCAAGCATGGCACTTCATCTTGTCGACGTACCAGGTGAGGAACGACCTGTACATCGGACAGCTGGAGTAGAAGATGACACACATTCGGATGGGCGAGCAGGAGTCGGCGACGGACTACTGCAACCGTGCTCGACGGATCCTAGCTGAGATGCGGATGGCGGGCATCGAATACTCTATGGTGTCCTACATCACTCACGTCCTCAAGAGCCTGCCGCGCAGCTACAACCTGATGAAGAGTATGACGATGGTGCCCGGCACATGTGAGTCCCTCGACGAGGACTCCCTCACCAGCTACATTCTCCAAGATGAGGCGATGCAGGAGGCAGAGCAGCCCACGGAGCTCCTTCCGCTAGCAAGTTACGCTACGGCGACGAAGCCGAATCGTCAGCAGGAGCAGCGCGGGAAGCTGGGCGGAGGTGGTAGCGGAGGTCGGCGGTCGACGAAGGACGTCGACGAGAAGAGGTCAACGCGTGATAAGGGCCGAGGAGGTGGTGGTCGACATGGATCTGCCACGACCCCGACCATCTCTCCTACGAATGCCCCGAACGCGACGACAGCGACGAGGACGACAACAAGGGAGGCCGCGGTCGACCAGTCGTCGCCCCCGTCGAGATGCAAAGCCGCGCAAGGACAAGGAGACGTCAAAGACAACGTCGTCGACGAAGGACGTCGACAACTCCAGTGGCAAAGGCCGAGGCGACGGGGAGGCGTCGTGCTCGATGGTCGGCGTGGTGGAGCCGACAGTCTCGCTGGCGCCGGAGGCTGGCGAGGACTTCCAGGCGGTGGCGGCAGGTGTGCAGGCAAACCCGATGGCGGTGCTGCTCGACAGCGGTTGCTCCCACCACCTGATAAGGACGAAGGCGGTCTTCGTCGACATGGCGCCGAGCGACGGCGTGAAGCACGTGCGTGGATTCAACGGGGCGCTGTAGCCTGTCGAGGGTCGCGAAACCGTCGCTCTGCAAGGGGAGGCCGGAAAGCGGGTCCTCATCCACGACGTGCTCTACGTCCCGGGCGTAGAGGCGAACCTGCTATCTGCTGGCCAGCTGAAGGAGAGCGGAGTGCAGCTGCAGGGCGACGGCGACGAGATGCTGCTCGTTGCGGCGACCGGGGAGGTGCTCGGCCGAGCACGCTACACCGGACGAGTCCTCTGCACCGACCTTCGCCCCTGCTCGACGCGGTTCGCCGTCGACCAAGGTGGTGGCTCTGCGGACGATCGTCTTGGCGACGAAGTCGACCCCTGACCGTTTGCATGCGAGGCTCGCACACGTCGGCGTCGACACGATCAAGAGCTTCGGCGAAGCATGAAGTTGCTACTGGGCTCGACATCACGTCGTCGACCGGAGCAGACCCGCCGTGTGTCTCGTGCGTCAGACCCTTCCCCGACAAGGGCTCGGACGCCGAGGAGGCACTGGCTATCGTGCACATTGATTTGTGCGGGCCATTTCGTGTGGCTGCCAAGGATGGCAGCTTGTACTTCCTGCTGCTGAAGGATCGCCACACTCGTTTTGTGTAGGCAACCCCAGTCGCTAAGAAGAGCGACGTGATGCGGGAGTTTCAGAGGTGGCTGGTTCTGGTGGAACGGCAGACAAAGAAGTCGGTGCTGTCGCTCCGCTCTGACCGGGGAGGGGAGTTCCTCGGAAAGGATTTCTCCAACTTCATCGACGGGAAGGGCATCGTCCACGACCTGACGTGCCCCTACACTCCACAGCAGAATGGCATGGCTGAGCGGGAGATGCGCACGGTCGTCGAGTCCGTGCGGACGATGCTGCTGTACATGGGCGTGCAGCACCACTGGTGGCACCTCGCTCTTCGACAGGCTGTCTGGGTGCGCAACTGCTTGGAGCGATCGACGACGCCGCCGGGGACGACTCCGCACCATCTGCTGACCGGGAAGAAGCCCGACCTCACGCTGGCGCGGGTGTGGGGCTGCATGGTGCAGTTCATGATTCCCGAGCAGCAGCGCGGTGGGAAGCTGGCGCCGAAGGCTCGCTAGGGGCTTCACCTGGGTGTGTCGCCGGAGAGCAAGGGCTGGGAGGTGCTCGACCTGACCGACAACAAGGTGGTCACGTCGGTCGAGGTGATCTTTTATGAGACGCTATCGCTGGAGGTGTGGAAGGCGAAGTATGGGCCGGCGTCGAGGCGGACGCAGGCACACCCGCTGACGGGCACCTCGACGGCGATGGTTTCGCTGCTCGCCGAAGTCAACGAGCCTGCTGACGAGGATGTTATGGAAGTTCTTCCACCTCCCCCTGTTCTTGCTCCTCCCTCCCCCATCGCAGCTCGGCCTGCGTTGGCACCTGTGTCTGCCACCGGCGATGAGGGGAGCCTTGAGGCGTCGCCTATGGCGCCGGCCAGTGGCATCGCCAGCGGTCGACAAGGCGCCAAGCTCGTCGACCAGGACCGGAAGCCGTCGACGACAGGGGAGCAGCAGACAGGGGAGCCGGTCGAACAGGAGGCAGCAGCATGGGTGCAGTCGACAAGGGAGCAGCAGCCGGGGCGGTCGACAGGGGAGCTGTTGAAGTCAGCAGCGGGCGAGCAGCCGGTCGAAGGGTCGAAGCAGCTGGTCGACGACAAAGATGTCGACGAGAAAGGGGAGCTGTCGGCGGGAGAGGAGTCCACCGACAGCGACGTGGTGGAGGTGACAATCAAGAAGCCTGAGCTGCGACGCAGAGGTCGAGCTCGACGGCCGCCGGAGCAGCTGAGCTTCCACGCCTGCCTGCCGCCAGCTGCCTTCACCACGGTGTACGACGAAGCAGATGATGACCTGCTGTACGACGACGCCGAGGATGATGTCAGGTGGGAGAGGCGCAAGTGCAGTCAGGTGAGAGAGGCGCAAGTGCAGTCAGGTGAGAGAGGCGCAAGTGCAGTCAGGTGAGAGAGGCGCAAATGCAGTCAGGTGAGAGAGGCGCAAGTGCAGTGAGGTGAGAGAGGCGCAAGTGCAGTCAGGTGAGAGAGGAGCAAGTGCAGTGAGGTGAGAGAGTGTGTGTGTGTGTTGCAGGGGGGAGAGGAAAAGGCGAGTCTCTTTTGAGTTCTCAAACGCTGGGTTTTTGGAGTGCAGTGGGAGCAAGACCATTGGGCTGGTGATGCCAACAAAGTGGGGGAGAAAATGCACAACTGGGGGAGGGTTGGAAAGTAGTGAGCAGGAGCAAGACTAGAGAGTGAGAAGCTGCAAACGAGTGAGAGAGGAGTGCAGGGTGCTATAATCCATCATGCAATTGAATGACCAACTGCTATCCTTTCGCCTTGTTTCGCTGTTGCTTGCCCACCCCCTGCTTTATTCTCCTTATTTCTTCATACTGTTCTCCTTGCATCCTCCTTCCCCACCCTCTCCTTTCCTCCCCATGCCTCTCCCATCTCGCCTCTCTCCCCCCCGTCCTCCCTCCAATCAGCGCTGGTACTAATTGATCCCTGTCGGTCATGCTTCGCCGAATTCAGGTCCTGCTTTCCGCTGGTTCCTCACCTCACACACACCAGCAACCTGCTTCTCAGGCATGCGATCGTAACCACAGCAAGCATTTTGTGTATATCTTCTATTGTAGTTTGTGTGTTACTATTATGTGTCACTATGACCTAGTGCCTGATCGAACAAAATGTACCATATCTCGTTCTTTTACCCCACGTAAAAAAAAAACTATTCTTGTATCGTCATACCCAGCATATACAGTGCTGGTGCGCTCATTAAAAATTGAGGGGTGAATAAGACAAAAGCCATAAGCGCAAGGCTTCCAACTATGGCAAAGGAAATACCTTGATTTTAACATCAAATTGCAGCTCTCGATAAGATTCATAATGTGGAGTGTTTTTTTACATTGTCATAACAGGGCTGAATGTCAATGGCCTGGAGAATGGTACTAAGCAGCAACAGTTTGTCAAGAGACCCTTCACATGTGAGGTGAGGAGCCAGAGGAGAATCCAGGAGTTGACTGCGGTGAAGAGTGACAGGCAGGGCTCAAGCATTACAGGTGCTGCTTGTACGGAGAAAAGGGGGGGAGAGAGCCGAAAGGGAAGAGACATGAGGCGAAAGCAGGGGGGTGGGGAGGGAGGACGTGAGGACAATCCAAACGACAGAAGGAATGCGCAGGGAAGCACGAGGGAGAAGAGGAGTGTGGGCACCAAGAAGACTGCCACACGAGGTACTGACTCCATTGCAGGGGAAAGGTATTCAGATATGCCCGTGGGCAGAAGGAGTAGGGGCAAACATTTGGTTACAGTGCAAGCAGCCTGCTCCCACTGCTCCCCCCCAACTCCGCACCAACTCCTAACCCGCATGGTCACCTGGCAGAGCAACTGGTCAGCAGCTGCCACCCACTCGTGGGCACCACACTCCCAATCGGCTTGCTACAGCCGCAAAACGCCAACGCAGCCGCCCACCGCGATCCGACCACGCCCGCTTCCAGATACAGGTTGGCCCCGTCCACAAGTCTGGCGCTGTTATACTGGAAGGCGGTTGTGGAGCAGAAGCGCACAGCAGCCTCGGTGTTTGTTCCCGACGCGGCGGCGTAGACTGCTCCGCCTGCGCCAGAGGTGACGACGCTGACAGCGGCAGTGCCACGGGCCTTGTTGCTATATAGGTTGGTTTTGACGAACGTAAGGGCGGCGTCTTTGGAATAAACGGCTCCCCCAGATGCGTCTGTAAGGGTGGAGGGAGGGTTGGAGGGAGAGAGGGTGCTGTTCCAGATGATTTTTGAGAAGACTCAAAAAGGCCACCACAACACAGAACCATACACACACATGCACACACATGCACACATGCACGCTCGCACACACTCACTCACCAGCGCTGTTATCAGAAAAGAGACAACTCTCAAACCGCAGCCTGGCTGTCCCCGCCACCCTAACCGCCCCGCCCACATGCGTCAGCGCGCTGTTGCCGTTGAAGGTACAGCGCAGGAAGGAGAGAGCCGGCACGCGGTCAATGAGGCCGAATGCATCGAAGGTGGTGGCGTCGATGTTGACCGCGCCACCCCCCATGGGCGACGAGTTGTTGAAGAAAACGCAGCCTGTGAAGAGACGCTTAGGAGGCGCGTCCATTAGTGGGAACTTGTCACTGGTGGGTTGGGGAGACATGAACGGGGCGGGAGGGAGAGAGGAGGGAGGGGTGGATGTGAGGCCGTGTGTTTGGGAATGGGGGGGCCATCAATGACTGGAAGGTGCAGCGCGAGAAGAGGCGGTGGAGTGTGGTGGCTGTCGCAGGGAAGGAGCTCGCACCACACACACTCACTTGCACCTCACGCACTTACAATTGCACCAAGCACACACACTCTCACATGAGTCTCACGCAGTCAGTCGGGCACCCCTCTCACTCTCTCATCACACCAACACTCCTCTCCCCTACCTGAGCACCCCTCCCCTGTTGTTGTGGGCGAACTCGCACTGACTCGCGTTGATTGGCGCGAGCACCCTGGAGAAGACGCTTTTCGCCTGCTGGAAGCTGAGGTTGACCAGAGTCAACTGCCCCGCCGTGGAGCCCGACGAGGAGGAGGAGGCGAATATGGGGAAGGCGCCACCCCCCCCGCTGATGATGCATCTCGAGGTGCTGGGGACAGGAAAAGGTGCGCGAAGATGACAAGGGGAGAGGAGAGATGGGAAGGAGGTGATGGTGATGGTGGGTGCAACCGTGGTCCTGACCCACTGATCCTACCATTGCCATGTGACCCTGCTACGAAGTGGGAACCCTACGACCCCCCTGCTATTGTTACCTACCCGGTGGATCCACACGCGCCCGTGATGGTCAGCTTGGCCGCGCCTGAGAGTGCGGGGAGAAGGCTGGGGGGGGGGGGGGAAGGGAGGGAGGGGAGAGGAGGGGGGTTGGTTGGGGAGCGGAGAGGAAGGAAAGAGAGAGGGGAGACCGCGAGGAACGGTGTGGGAGGTGCGGGAAGCGAGAGGGCAAGAGCGAGTGGGAAGCGAGAGGATATTTTTAGTCGACTCAAGCAAAAAGGTGAGAGAGATAACAAAAGCAAAAAGTAACATGTGCAGACGTAAGTGGCATGATGAGATGGAAAGTGCACACGTGGCGAGACGTAGAATGTGCAGACGTGGCCTTGATGGGGAACTTACGCCGTGAGCTCCACGTCGGATGTGAGAACGAGCTCTGTGGTAGCCGCGTCCGCTTCTAACTGTATTCATGCCACGTGGACACGCACAACGCACGCACACGACAAAACGTTCATTCGGCACTGCTTATGTCGAATTTGAGCCGTCGGCGTCACAATCTTTCCTTGGAACCGATCTGACGGACGGAGAGGAGAGCTCGCCTGGTTGCGAGAAAGTGTTACACATTGTGTGGTTGTCCATTTTGACATGGGCATTTCCCCACGAGCATCGTAGAGCCCCTACGCGACACTAACGGTGTGAAACTATCCATGTGAATCGCTGTCATGCGATATAGTACTAACGGTACCTCGTTGGCCTGGTTGATGGCTTCTTCCAGCGTCATCGCCGCGGTAGTCGCGGGACCGCAGATCATCCCGATGAGTACTAGCGACGCGACGAGGAGAGTGGTGTGCTGGCGGCGTGCTGTGACTGGTTCCCTCAGGGAACGAGCCATCTTGAGACTGACGACGAATGCTCCTAATGTGGATCGGAGAGACTGGCAGACAATCAGCTCCGAGTTTCGTGAGCGGCGGCGGCGGCAAGTAAGTGTACGTACTTGGATAATGTGAACTGGGAGGAACTGTGTTTGGTTAACATGCGAGCGAGATCCGACTCGGAGTCACGAGGTGCGATTGTTAGCTGAGGTCTCAGAGGGAGCAAGTTACTCACTCACCCGCGCAGCTGGGAATCCATACCTTTCGTGTTCATTGTTCAACGGCGGCGCATGCGGCGATTGGGTTCACTCCACCGCACCGCATCGCAGGGCTTGCTGTCATGCCGGCCGGGCGCCACGGCGCGAAAGGAGGCGATGGGTGGGACATGGGTGCGCCAGGGCATGCGTGGAGGCAAGACTCAGTGCTACGGGACGTTTTTTGCCTGACGTCATGACCGAAAAAATATCTGTGCGGCTCAGGGAGCGGCGAGGGTGGGTCCGTGTAACACCTCGCTAGCCCCACAGGCGTTACAGTCCGACCAATCGCCTGACATGCACCACGCTGTCCCAGCGCAGTGAATCTCGTCGTCTGTCGAGTTTTCCCGTCAGGCTGACGTCGATGCATCTGGCGCTCACCCCTCCGATGACGGATCCAGCGCCCCTCGCCAGCTACTAGGGCCCGTCGCGACTCGCGTCTCGTCACGCAAAGCCACTTCCCCGTCCCACCTGAGCACATTCCGCTCCTCAACAGTATTGAGTCCATTCCATGTGCGCACAGGTTTTTTTGCCCCTTGCCAGAAGCACTGCTCCGTGTGTACCTTTCAAATTCGGCGTCGTGACTCGTCGCGAAAGTATTGGCGGCGCCACGTGAGACGGGGATGTACAAGCAGAGGATGCGTAAACACCTGAAGGGGCGAGCTTTCGTTTTGGGAAAGCCAGTACCTGAGCGCAACAGAAGGATGCGAATGAAGTGCCCTAAAGAGCGTGCTGTGCTTGGTGAGGTGATCTTTCCGTTCATTTAAAGCGGTTGGCTACGATGTTGTGCGTTTTAGGGAGGTAGGTCTACCTCCCCGCTTTAAACCGCTCCAAACCAGTCTGAACAGGGATCCGTGATGTAAACTCACGATTTCTTGCACAGAAAATGTGCATCGACTTGGCTGGGCCAATTTCAGCAGCACCCCAACCCACGCTTCGCCAGAAGCATTTCCGGTACACAGCTCTGCTGACAGTAATTTTATGAGGCAGGGGGGTGTTGTAGCGTCGATGGCGCACTACATATAGAGAGGAATTTCTCTGGCATCTATACAGCTGAAGTGCTGGATCAGCTGCAGAGCAATGGATGAAGTGAGCGATGATTGCACTTTACGGAGTTACGTTTTCATGTTGTATTGCTGGTGTGAACCGATGGGGCTGGGTTCCTCCTCACCACATAATGGTGTAGGTGTCGACGTGTCGTGTCGGGAGTCCACCGTGAGACTTGGAAGTGTGCGAAAGCTAATGGACTTGCCTTGTAAAATTTTACAGATACAGCCATGGTAAGGGCGTGTTCCTACACCTCGTATCAGACACCCCTCGTATCAGCTTCGCGTGGTTAAATATGTTTCAGTGTGTTCGACTGCGGTTGGATGTGTTGTAGTGCGGTTTGACGCGAGTCTGATAAGAGGCTTCCTGACAAGAGGCTTTAGGAACACGCCCTAACATCAACACTCGAAAGCCCTTTCAGTGTCAAATAACAAATATGCATGTTAGTCTACAGTGAGCCACGCACTAGAGAGGATACACAACTTTCTCGACTTCCCTATTTGTACCTTGTTTCCTAGTAGTCGACATCATTCCGCTAGCCTACTCGTGAGATGGTATCACGTGCTAAGTTCATAGGCCTAGTTAGTTCCTAAACCGCCCTAGTTCTTAGTTTCCCTCCCCTCCAGCCCTCACGTCCCTCCTAGTCTTCCAGTCCGCACGCCCTAGCCAGCTACGTCGTGCGCCCGTGCGTTTGTTAGCAGCTGGCAAAAACGCGACTGCAGCCACTCACGCACGCATCGGCAGCGCGCGAGCAGCAACAGTCGAGCGCACACGTACAGCCGCATGCGAACGCACACCCGCACGCGCATGCACAACCGCGCCAGCACGCACAGCTTCAGCCGCACGCGTGCACCTGCCTGCAGCCCGCGTGCACCTGCCTGCAGCCCGCGTGCACCTGCCTCCAGCCCGCGTACACCTGCCTGCAGCCCGCGTGCATCTGCCTGCAGCCCGCACGCGCACAAGCCACACACGCACGCCCAACCGCCGCGTGCACGCACAGCAGCTGCGCACGCTCGCACGGCAGTCAGCGCGCCTGCGGCCAGCGCATACGCGGCAGCAGCGCTATCACCCGCAGCCGCAGTGCTAGCACCTGCAGCCGCCAACAGCAGCCGCAGTGCTAGCACCTGCAGCCGCCAACAGCAGCCGCATTGCTCGCGCCTGCAGCCGCCAGCAGCAGCCGCTTTACTAACGCGTGCAGCCGCCAGCAGCAGCCGCTTTACTAACGCGTGCAGCCGCCAGCAACAGCCACATTGCTAGCGCCTACAGCCGCCAGTAGCAGCGGCGCTAGCGGCCAACGGCCTGCCTCAGCAGCCACGAACGCGCTACCTTGCGCACACCGCGCTCCTCCTGCTGCCCGCACGCAGCAGCGCACGGCTGCATTACACGCAGCCAACAGAAGCGCTCGCACGGGCCGCACTAGCTGGAACTTACCGCCAGCAGCAGACACCAACCGCCCACACCTCATCCTAGCCGCCTAGGGTTTCTTCCTGCTGCCCACAGCCTCTTCCTGCCGCCCACAGCCTCTCCCAGCCGCCCACAGCCCCTCCTAGCCACCCAACACCGCCTACTTCCACCTAATTCTCGCATACTGCAACCCATAGCCGCCCGCAGTACCACCAGTGCACATTGTATCGTGCACGCCTCCTGCCTTTGGCACCTCTAACGGCGGCGGGCAGCCGCAGTCACTTTTCCTGACGTAGTTTCGGTTTTGTGCCCCGACTGGCGTTCCTAGCCCGCCTTGCCTAGCCGACTGTTCCTAGGCTGGTGTCTATTTGTCGGTAGTTCCTAGTATTGCTCCAGCTGCTCCTACCTTCAGCCACTCCTAGCTCCAGTCGTGTCTAGCTCCAGCCATGCCCTCCTCCAATCGTGCCTTGCTCCAGCCACTCCTAGCTCCAGCCGTGTCTAGCTCCAGCCGTGCCCTGCTCCAGCCGTGCCTTGCTCCGGCCACTCCTAGCTCCAGCCGTGCCTAGCTCCAGCCGTGCCTAGCTCCAGCCGTGCCTAGCTCCAGCCGTGCCTAGCTCCAGCCATGCCTAGCTCCAGCCGTGCCTAGCTCCAGCCGTGCCCTCCTCCAGCTGTGCCTTACTCCAGCCACTCCTAGCTCCAGCCGTGTCTAGCTCTAGCCGTGCCCTCCTCCAGCTGTGCCTTGCTCCAGCCACTTCTAGCTCCAGCCGTGTCTAGCTCCAGCCGTGCCCTCCTCCAGATGTGCCTTGCTCCAGCCGCTCCTAGCTCCAGCCGTGTCTAGCTCGAGCCGTGCCCTCCTCCAGCTGTGCCTTGCTCCAGCCACTCCTAGCTCCAGCCGTGCCCTGCTCCAGCCGTGCCTTGCTACGGCCACTCCTAGCTCCAGCCGTGCCTAGCTCCAGCCGTGTTTTGCTCCAGGCGTTCCTCGCTCCAGATGCTTCTGGCTCCAGCTGCTCCTAGCGCCAGTAGTTCCTAGCCTGGCGATTCCTCGTTCTAGCCGTGCCTAGCTCCAGCTACTCCTAGCCTGCCGCTCTTACACCCAGCTAGCCTTCACCATGGCGTCCACTAGGGTTCTCCAGCAGCAGGGATAGCAGCAGCGCCAATTTCTGCAGTGGGAGCCTCAGCAACAGGGGCGCCCTCAGCAGCGGTGGCGCCCTTAGCAGCAGTGGGGGCCTGGTGGTTCGGGTAGCGTTGGCTGCAGTAGCGGCCCAACCAGCTGGGGGGCTCGTTGCGGTGGCCGCGATGTCGGACCTTGCCAGTACCGGATCCTGACTGGCTATGGTGCTGGCACTACCTGCTGGCGTCCTGACCACTCTGCACAGCGCTGCTACAGACGCCTCGATGACCTCTACCATGAGCGTTTTGAGTCTGAGTCGAGGCCACCGATCTGGCCCGGTCTGTCTCGTAGTTGTTACCCTATATTTGATATGTCTATGGATGCTGCTTATTCTGTCACGTATGGGCCTCTTGGCTTAGGACCTTTGCCTGTTGCTAGTGTAGGTACTTGTGCTTTTAGTGTAGGTGCTTGTGTAGTCACTACTCCAGCCGTGACGACCGCTGTTGCGTCGCTCTCCTTCACGCTGGACTCAGGCACGTCTCAGTGTTTCTTCCGCGACCACACCACTGTCACTCCTCTTTCGGCTCCAGTCCCTGTTGCCGTGGCTGATCCTACTTCAAGACCAGCAGTCGCTCGCAGCTCGACCACACTCCCGTGCCCGGCTGTCCCTTCTGGTTTCCTCACTGGTCTCTACATCCCCTCGTTCTCTCGGAACTTGGTGGGTGTTGGATACCTTCAGGACCATGGGATCACAGTCACTTTTCCTGCGCACGGGAGGACGGCGATCTGTACGGACGCTTCCACCGGGGCAATTCTTGGCATGTTCACCAGGAAGCCCTACTCAGGACTCTTCGTTCTGCACACTGCGTCCCACCAGGTAGCAGAGTCCGGCCAGGTTACTGCGTCCCCTCAGGTAGCAGAGTCCGGTCAGATTACTGCGTCCCCTCCGGTTGCTGTGTCTAGTCAGGTTGCTGCGTCTGGTCAGGTTGCTGCGTCTTGCTCCTATCGGTCTCTCGCCCACCCGACCGTCTTGTGGCACCACCGTCTTGGCCACCCGTCGATCTCCCGCCTGCGCAGCATGGCTAGTCACCGTCTTGTCTCTGGGTACACCACGGTGTTTCCTCTCGCGAAGAAGGCCGAGGTGACTTCTACGCTGATCCGGTGGCTGCTGGCCACTGAGGGCACTCGTGGTAGTCGTGTCCGT